CTAGTGTTCCTAAGTGCAAAGAGGCTGTGATGTGCCTTATGGAGAAAGTAGTGTGACAGATAATTTTCATTCCGGCATGAAATTTTAGTATTGTTGGGTGTGAGTTCAATGTTAATGAATTAAAAATATATATTACATAAGGTATTTTCAAGCATAAACATACAAAACAAGGTTATGTATTGATCAAAATGTTAACAACAGTGTTGTGACCAAAGGCTTATAGGAATTAACCCTGAATTTCCCCCTAGGAGTTCAGTATTCATTGATTCAGTAATTGCAGTGACTTAGTAGAACGTATATAGCTATAGCAAATAATGAGACTCAACTGTGTGGGTATCTTGTGAAAAGGCAATAAGAGAAATAATATAGAAAAATTGTTCAAAAGAGGGAGAGATAATATCTTCTTAAAGATATCAAAATATGCTTGGGTGCCTGGGTGGCTCAGTTGGTTAAGCAACTGCCTTCGGCTCAGGTCATGATCCTGGAGTCCTGGGATCAAGTCCCGCATTGGGCTCCCTGCTCAGCGGGGAGTCTGCTTCTCCCTCTGACCCTCCCCCCTCTCATGCTTTATCTCTTTCTCTCTCAAATAAATAAATAAAATCTTTAAAAAAAAGATATCAAAATATGCTTAATATGGGAGTTGCTTTTCATGATAATCCTTAAATAAAGTGTAGAATTTGAACAGGTAGAGCTGGATCTAAGAGAATTCTAATAGAAGGCGAGAAAACTAAGTCAGAAGTTTGGGAATGTTCAGAAATATCTAGGTAATTTAGCTCAAGCATAGAGTACAGATTAGGAGGTTAGTACTACATTGTGTTGCATCTTATGTAGGAAGGTAAAATGTCTGTGGTTTATTTAGCAGTCATTACTAATTTCATATTCAGTGTTTGGACTTAAAATAGTGCCTTACATCCTCTCCTAACTTTCCAGTAAATTATCTGTTAAGATAAAAATAAAAACCAAAATTCACAATAACACACAATGTAGGTCTAATGATCAACACTGCCAGACATTGGAAGGAATTTCCAGCAAGTAAAAGACAATTGGAGCAGACTGCCTCCTGGAAACAAAAGCAGAGTTGATGGTCCTGATTCAGACATGTAGGGTCTTTAACTGGGAAGTCATCTCTTCTATGTAAATGTTGCTTTTGAACCAGCCAGAACACTGTTACTTCTTCCTCTAGAAACACTAATATGCTATATTCTCAGAAAACAAGTGGGGAAATAGAAAAGGAGGTGTGGGAATGGCACATCATAATATATCCCAGGTTGGGTGTTTTTCTGTCTTAGATGCTGAAAATTGATTTAGCAGTCAGGCACATAAGCAGTTGGGCTTTTTTTTTTTAATTTTTTTTTAAAGATTTTATTTATTTATTTGAGAGAGAGAGAATGAGAAAGAGAGCACATGAGAGGGGGGAGGGTCCGAGGGAGAAGCAGACTCCCTGCCGAGCAGGGAGCCCGATGCGGGACTCGATCCCGGGACTCCAGGATCACGACCTGAGCCGAAGGCAGTCGCTTAACCAACTGAGCCACCCAGGCGCCCGCAGTTGGGCTTTTATAACACAGGCAGGGGTGGGCAGCAGGCAGGGGCAGTTGAAAATCCTAAAGGGGATATTCACATGGAGAGGCAGCAATGGGGAGGAACTGTGGACTCAGAGGTGAACACAGAGGGATGGGGAATTGATGTCTGAAACTCACTCACCTCCCTCCATCTGAGTTCCTGTCCCTTGATGAATCCAACCAAAAGTTAGACGGCAAAGAAAAACTTTGATTTAGTCTACATAAATCAGTTTCCCAGGGCACAGAGGAGGATAGAGACTGGTGGAGAATGGATCTAAAATCACTAACGGGGAGAACATGCATATACATATTATATGGACACTATGATATATCTAAGCCATCAAGTTCTTTAAAATACATTGCACAGTATAATGTGCCTATAATGCAGCTTAAACTTTGATAGGCCAGTAGTCCAGATTTTTATTAATGACTATTACTAATTGCTGAAATCAGTTATTAAGATTGATTAATATAATTCCCTTTAGATTTAAGAGAAAGGTTAAATATCTGTCTTCAGTACTTTAATGGTAAGCATGCTTAAAGGTAGAACACTTGGCTATTTGAATATATTAGTTCTGTATTCCTTTGGTCCTGGATAAGAGAATTCTGGAAACTGTCCTGAATGAGGAAATTACCAAGAGAAAATGTTAAATCAGGAGACTTCCTAATATAGCTTCCCCTGATATATAAAAAGCTTGGAAGTCATCACAACATAGAGATAATGTTAGCAAAGAAGTGGAAACTCAAATAATCAAAAGAAAGCCCAAAAAATCAAAGCTATAATAACAGAAATGAGGAATGTCTTTGATGGGCTTTTGAGTAAATAAAACTCACTTGAGGAAAAAAATAGCGAGCTGAATGCATGTCAGTGGAAACATTCTAAACTGAAATGCAAAGAGAAAATAATAATAATAAAACCGGAACATTCAAGAATTGTGGGACAACTGCAAAAGATATAATACATCTAATTAGATTATCAGAGGAAGAAAAAAGAAGAGAGCTGAAGAAATATTTAATGATGGCTGAGAATTTCCCAAAATTAGAGATATCAAATCACAAATCTGGTTAGCTCAGAGAACACCCAGAAGGATAAATATAAAAACAAATCTATCCCCAGAGTTGTCATATTCAAGTTGCAGGAAACAAAGAGAAAATCTTAAAAGAAGCCCAGAGACTGAGGGTATTCATGGCCAAAAGACATGCTCTGAAACAAACATTATAAGTAGTTCTTTAGGAAGAAGAAAAATGACAGGTCAGAAACTTGGATCTACATAAAGGAAGAGCATTGAAGAAGGAGTAAGAGAGGGTAAAACATCTTTTACTTTTTGTATTGTCAATTGATCTAAAAGATTATAGTCCTTAAAGTAATAACAACACTGTATCAGGTGATTATAGCATATGGTTAAGTGAAATAAATGGTAGAGTATTAGTCTGCTCAGGCCGCTATAAATAAAATACCACCTATTAGGTGCCTTAAACAACAGACATTTATTTCTCACAGTTCTGGAGGCTGGGGAGTTTAAGACGAAGGTGCTAGCCTATTTGATTCCTGGTGAAGGTCCTCTTCCTGGAATGTAGATGGCTGCTTTCTTTCTGTATTCTCACATGGCTGAGAGAGAGCGCCGTTTTTTCTTTCTTTTCTTCCTCTTCCCATCATAAAATCATGCTTCATCCTAGTGACTCCTAAATTTAATTACCACCCAAAGGCCCTATCTCCAAATACCATCACATTGGATGTGAGGGATTTAACATGAATTTGTGCAGGAAGTGTGTGTGTGGGGGGCACAATTCAGTTCATAGAAGATAGCAGTGTCATAAGGGATACAAGGGAAATGTATTAGATATTAGAAATACTCTGTTATAATAAGGTACTTGAAGTAGTATAGTGCTATTTGAAGGTGAAACTGACTTAATTAAAAATGTACATTACAATTAGAAATCCATGACCATTTTTAAAAAGAGAGGTATAATTGATAGGCTAGGAGAGGTGATAAAATACTATTATGTAGAATGCTCAATATTAAAATGAGAGAAGACAAAAAAAGAAGGTAAACAAAAGGAACAAAACACAAATGCAAGGAATAGAATAGTTACAAACATCTTAGATATTAGTCCAATTATATCAGTGATCACTTTAAATCTGAATGGTCTAACTACACTAATAAAAAGACAGATTATCAGAATAGATACAAAAATAAGATCAACTATATGATGTCTACCTGAATCCATTTAAATATAAAACTCAGGTGAAAAACAAAAGGAAGCAGAAAGTTGTAGAATGCCAACACTTAATACTATGTGTATGGCAGAAGTATAAGAAACAGGAGCACCTGGGTGGCTCTGTCGGATAAGCATCAGACTCTTGATTTCGACTCAGGTCATGATCTCAGTGTGGTGAGATTGAGTCCTGCATAGGGCTCTGCACTCTTCAGGGAGCCTGCTTGAGATTCTCTCTCCTCTCCCCCTCTGCCCCTCCACCCCCCAACTCTCACTCTCTCTCTCTAAAATAAATCTTTTTTTAAAAAAAGGAATGGATCAGATTTACATGCTGTTCCTTTTATAATTGGAAAATCTAGAGAATTCATCATTCACCAAAATTCGGTGGTTCTTTTTTCATTCACCAAAATTCTGATGCTGAGAGGAAATAGAATAATTGCCAGTTTTAGCATTAAGTAAGTCTTAGGGATGGTAATTTCATTACTGCACATAAAAAGCAAACATCAAAATGCATTAGATTAATTCTTCAAAGTTATCCACAATTCATGTTCAGTGATATTTTAGATCACATTTATCTTGAAGAATAAAAGAAGGCTAATATGACAAGCAGAGAGAAAAAAAATCCTAAATAGGTTGACTACATAATTTCCTCCTCTCTTTGCTCTTTTAAACCTGGCTACATTAGTTGTGAGGCCCTCCCCTTTGGAATTAGTGACTTCATTTGGATATCAAAAGTAAAGTCACTCTATATGATAAGGAATCACAAAGACGTTTATTCTGACTCTCCGAGAAGTATAGTTGGGGAACATTCTAACAGCTTACATGATGTTCTTTTTATGACACTCCTCTCATTATCATTTCGGAGTGCCACCCACAGATTATTCTTCTCTTGTCTTGTCAAGAAATGATGTTGAAAATATGAAAGGTTGCTAAGTGCTTTTGTGGAAATAACAAGACAAAATACACTATTTAAAAAATTTCCCATGCCAAAAAACAAAAGAGCACATCATGTCATGTCTTTCCATTTATAATCTTATAATGCACATCTTGCTAAAATGTATTTTATTGAAAGGACTCCTTCTTTTAGAGGAAGTAGCACACATATTTTCCACCTTGACTTTAATACACACATAATTTCCTTCAAATGACATTTTAAGGATTTAGAATATTTTTTTTTATATGCCAGACTGAATTTTGGAAAATGTTTAATCAGGCTGTAAGCACATTGGGTTTATAAGCACAGCTTGAGTTTAGAAGGTTAACTACTTTGTAGCTGTTTATAAATTTCTCATGGAGATGAGAGCCTTATATATTCCATAAGAACATTAAAGAACATTTCAGGTATATAACATACTTTGTGATTTTTCTGTACATGTATGTTACACTTGATCTTAGCCAAAAGGCCGAGAAGCGATCTATCTGTACATGTATTGTTAATACAAAAAGATTCAGAAGACATTCCTGAATCCTTGTGCTCTGTAAGTCAATGACTATGATTGCACCACGAAATTCAGCCTGTCTTACTGCAGGCCTCCTTATCTCCAGAGTAGAGATAATGTATTGAATAGTTTCCTTGCCCATCTGACAGAACTATTTGGTGATGAAATAAACATATACATACATTATATATTATAGATGTAATAAATATATTCATTCTCTCCATATATATTTATATCCTTCATATCATATCTTTCATATATATAAATGTCTTCTGTTATTGAAGTAATTCTTATTGCCATATAGTACCTTAATTCTAGCCTCTTTTAGTGTGTTGTTGACCAAGTAGTACTAGGTAAATACAGCTTGGCTTACAGAAAGTCCAACAATAACCAGAGAAATTTCTCTTTTCTTTCCTCTTCTAGGGAAAATGTAAATAAACACACAAGTTAGAATTCTGCATAGTGCTGTTTATTTAAATGTCTACCATAGGCAGCTTCGTTTCATTTCATTTCCGGGGTAAGTGACCTACATCTACACTGTAAACTTTTCTAGGGCCTCAAGGGACAAAACTGTTATATGAAAATGGTGTGTTATTCAATTGATGGTTTTATGAGAGAGCAGCATCTGTAAATTTACAAACACTGACCAAGACTGAAAGCAAGTGAGAAGGGAGCTGCAAGTCTATAGCTAATCATGGTTTGCACCAATAGGGAATTGACAGTCTCAGCTGACGTGCTGAAACTAAAGGTTGCTGACTCTATTACTAGAATTCAATGTGGCTGTCTTGTCTTCTGCTTGAGGCATGAACATTTTATTTTTAAGAAGAGTTACTATCTCACATAACTCTTTAGCCATGCTATTTGTTTAATCAATACTTTATGAAACTGTACCACTGTCTTTACTTACTAAGATTCCACGAGGGATCAATAGGAGAGTGCCCTTCATCATTCCAGACAAGCCAAACCAAAGTCTTGGATATTTAATATTTTATTTGGCTTTGAAAAGTAACCACCAATACAAGATACATCTGGGACATCTTGTAGTACCAAAAAGTAAAGAACTACTCAAACAAAACAAAACAAAACAAAACAAACAAAACAAAACAAAACAAAACCCAAAAGGATGTAACATGCCATAGAGACACAAGAGCCAACCTGAAAAAGCTCTCAGTTGGCAAAGCTGGAACAAATTAAATGACAAAATAGATAATGTAGTCTTGGATCATAACCCAAAGTATAAAATAAATATATGTGTCTACACTGATATTAAAATGATTAAGAGTAAATAAATGAGGGAGAAGTTATAGAAGAATTCCAAATAATATATGTAGCTATTTCACTTTACAGAAGGTACAGCTTCAACCCCCACATTCCATCCCCCACTGACCATGGGCTGGCCTCAGTGACTCAATTCTATAGACTAGAGTAGGGAACGGAAAACAAACAAACAAACAAACAAAAAACAATGCCAGATTGGGAAAACCCAGCGTAAACTACCTTAAACCAGTGATTAAAATTTACATCTGCAGTGATGTCATGTGGACATAATAGATTCCTGATACGATGTGACAATAAAAGCATTTCATCTCTGTGATTCCTCCCAAATCTATAAACCAGTCTAATCATGAGAAAGACATTAGGCAAACCCAGACTGGGGGGTCTTCTGTGGAATAGCTGGCCAGTATATCTCAAGATTCTCCAGGTCACGAAGAAGAAGAAAAGGCTAGGAACTGCCACAGACAAGAGAGGATGTGGGAGACATGACAATTAAATGTTTTGTGATACCCTCGATTTGGTACTGGAATAGGAAAATAACATTGATGCAAAAACTATTTGGAGTTTAGTTAATAATAATCTGCAACGGATTGAATGATCACCCACTCAAAATATATGTCCATGTCCTAATCCCTGGAATTTGTGAACGTTACCTTACTTGGAAAAGGTATCTTTGCAGATATAATTAAGGATCTCCAGATAAGATCATTCTAGATTATCTGGGTGGCTTAAATCCAATGACAAGTTTCTTACCAGATAAGCACAGAGATGAGAAGGTGGGAATGTGATCATGGAGGTGGAGATTGGAGCCACAAATAAAGAAATTCCACCAACCACCAGAAAGCTGGTAGAGGCAAAGAATAGAAACTCCCTCAAGGTATTCAGAAGGAGTGCGGCCCTGGAAACACCTTGTTTTTATTCTCTGGCCTGCAGAACTGTGGGAGAATAAGTGTCAGTTGTTTTAAGCTACAGGTTTGTGATAATTTGTTATAGCAGCCTTAGGAAACTAATATATGTACCAATGTCAGTTTCTTGTTTTGAAAAATGTACTGTGGTAATGTAAAATGTTAATAAGGGAAACTAGATGAGGGGTATATAGGAACTCTCTGTACTATCTTTGCAACTTTTCTGTAAATCTAAAATTACTCCAAAATAAAAAGTTTATTAAAAAGAGCCCTCATAGTTCAACTCAAAGAAAGGTATAAATTTTACTTCTACCTTGTTAGGAGTTAGACTTGATATTTATTTGAATAATGTAACTACTGTGCCGTTAAATATCTTACAAATAAAACCAAACATTTCTAGAAAAGAAATCTTTCAAATGGGAAACATTGGTTTGGCAAATGCCAGATTATATTTGCGTATTTGGATTTCATTGTGTTTCAGAGCTAGAGTAATTTTTCTCTGGTTTGCTGTTGATTAAGGTGAGTAGTCTTAACCAGTGCTATAAATGATGTTTAAACAATTATCACTTGACCTTCAGTAGAGTATAAATTTACTTAATCCTGTTTCCTTATTCATTGATAACCAGTCAGGATTTAACCAGTGATCCAAATCAAGTAGCTTTTCATGTGTCTTCCTTATTTTAACTAAAAGAGCATGACTCAAATTTTGCAAGGAAAGCAAAACCCATTGTACAAATTTCTTTATTTTAATTTAAAAAAATGTCAAAATTGTCATCATGATCACCTTACACTGCTCAGACCAAAGAAGAACCATTCTGGCATCACCAACCAGCGTGAGGAATGTCCTCTAAAGTTAAGCTTTGTCTTTAAGTATATGAATGACTCAGGGCAGAATTTGAGAATTATTGTAGTATTTCATAAGGAAGTGATGACCTAAGTTATGGCTAACAGTCCCTCAACAAAGTCAACCATTCAGTTTCTCTGTGAGTGAAACTTAAAAGAACTGCAGAGCTAAAACAGTCAGTTAAATACCTAAAAACAAGTGCTTAATACTCAGGAAAAAAAGAGAATCCATATTTTTTTAAAATATTTTATTTATTTATTTATTTATTTGAGAGAGAGAGAGAGAAACAGCATGAGAGGGGAGAGGGTCAGAGGGAGAAGCAGGCTCCCCGCTGAGCCGGGAGCCCAATGTGGGACTCGATCCCAGGACTCCGGGATCATGACCTGAGCCAAAGGCAGTCGCTTAACCAACTGAGCCACCCAGGTGCCCGAGAATCCATATTTTGACAGGATATTTGTAACTATAAGCCACCACAGATAGCCTTGCAGCTATTTAGGAGTTATCATTGGTACTTCACTGATTACTTTGTGAAACCTCTGTGGGCTCCTCATGCTCTCAGCTCCACTTACTGCTTCAATCACAATGAATTATGAAATGCAATAGAGAATGCAACATAATTTTTTTAATGAAAGGATTTGGGTTACTTAAGTAATTCATATCTAGTAAAAATGACTAGATATAGTTATAATAAAATTTTGTTAAATTTTTTGTATAATACAAAATTAAAACATTTAATACTATAAGTTTTTAGAATAATAGATAGGCTTTTTAATTTAGTAATTATAAAGCAATGATTTTATGGGAGAAAGCCTATTAATAACAGCATGATTCATACTTGAACTATTTTTTTAGTTTTTAGTTCAGAAAACTCAAACCAAGTCCTTTTAAGGATGAGTCTCCTTGATTTGTTATTTGTGAGAATACTAAGTTTTAAATCTATAGACTGTCTGGTTTTATATAGATGTATTTGGCCAAAGTACCCTTATTTCCAAATAAAAGCCCCTATTTATGCTTTAAGGCAACAAAAAACTCTCAGATTGATAAAAACAAAAACAAACAGAAAACACTAAAATGTGATTGAGGCTGATAGGGAAAAAAAAAAGTAAGCCAAGTCTGTTATTTTAATAGTCAACCTTTGATATATATATAGTAAACCCATGGCCAAAAAAAAGTTCTCCCATGAAATATTATGAAACTAAATAAAACATACTGGTGATATGTCTCTCCTAACATTCACACTCATAGGGTTCACTTACTGTTAATCAGTGACATTTATTGAGTTTACCCACTACTCTCTGAGTTCTTCTAGTGGGACCTACCTGAGAGTGGCCTAAAAGAGAGAATATATCAGTTTCACCTTCAAGGTGTCTGAATTATTTTCTTTTTTCTCTTCTCTTCTGTTTTCTTCTGTTCTGTTCTGTTCTCTTCTCTTCTTTTCCTTCTCTTCTCTTCTCTCCTTTTCTCTTCTTTTCTTTTTTTTCCTGTTCTCTTCTCTTCTTTTCTTCCTCTCTTCCTCCCTCCCTCTCTCCCTTCCTTCCTTCCTTTCTTCCTTTCTTCATTTTTATTATTTACATTTTTGTTATAGGTGCTATTATTTATGTAATGCTCATTATAATATCCTCATAATCTTTCCAGAAATTGAGACCAGGCATTCTCAACTTTAGTGCTAATGATGTTCTGGGCCATATAATTTTTTTTTGTTATGGGGGAATGTCTTATGCATTGTAGGATGAGGTCCTGTGATGGTTAATTTTGTGTGTCAACTCAGCTGGGCCATGACACCCACATATTTGTTCAAATTTTATGTTAGATATTCCTATGAATGTGTTTTTCTGTATGAGAATAACATTTGAATTGGTGGACTTTGAATAAAACACATTGCCCTTCATAATGTGGTTGGGTCTCCTCCAATCAGGTGGAGGCCTCAACAGAATAAAGACTGACCTCTCACA